TTAAAAGAAAAAATAAAAGAATATGATGATCAACTTTATAACAATAAAATCAACAAACTGGATGAAATAAAGAAGTTTATTTAAAGACACAATTTACCAAGCCTGTTTAATAAAAATATAAACCCTGAGTAGCTCTATATTACTTCAATAAATTGAATTGTTTTAAAAACAACAACAAAAATCTTTTGGAAAGAAAAGTTTTCTGCCCAAAAGACTTTACTGGTTAAGTCAAAACATTTAAGGAAACAATAATGAAAATTCTCAGAAATTATTTCAGAAAATAAAAAGAGAATATTTCAAACTCATCTTGTAAGGCTCAAGACATCATGAAAGAACTGCAGACAGGAAAAAGAAACCCTTCTCCACTGTTGGTTTGAGTGTAGATTGGTGCAGCCACTGTGGAGATCAGAATAGACAGTCCTTAAATCCTAGGATTGGAAGTTCCATTCAATCCCGCCATTCCCCTCCTAAGTATTTTCCCAGAAAAACTGAAAAGGTCATGTCACAGCAATATAAGTATACCCATGTTTATGGCAGCGCAATCTGTAGTAGCTAAATCTTGGAAACAACCAAAATGCCCATCAATCGCAGAATGGATGAAAAAGACATGGCATTTTTATACAATGAGATATTACTCAGCTATAAAAAGGATGATCTTGAGGCTCTTATAGGTAAATAGAGGCAACTTGAGACTATTCTCATAAATGAAATAGATTTACATTTGTAAATATTGTGTCTCCAGTGTAAAAGATAAATAATAATAATAATAATAAACTGAAAGTAATAAGATCCAAAATGTATAATAGATATTGTAATAATGAAAGGGAAAGAAAGTGCTTGAAAGGAAAGAACAATCTATAAGTATACACATATAACTGTATGTATAATTGTGCCGGACAGATAACCAGGCTAAGTTTTTGTTAGTTCATCAAACAGAATAGTTCGTGCTGTCATTGTTTGATTGTCTGTTCATATTTTATGCTTTGATTTTGTAACTTGAACAACTACTTCTAAGGTAACAACACATAATTTATCAACTAGTAGTTTCTTAGTTACTTTTTTAAAATTCTGTATTATTTCTACCCTTTTTTCTGTTTTGCTTTTTTTCTCTAAATAAAAAAAGAAAAAAATTACTGGCTCTGTAGGACATAAAAAAAAAAAAAAACCTTGCAGACTCACATCCTCTAGAAATATGGGGAAAATCCTCTTGAAATCTTAGCAAAATGAGTTCAATCCCTGGTACCAAAAAAAAAAAAAAAAAAAAAAAAAACAAAAAAAACAATCTTGGTTAACCAAACAATACACTTATGTGTCACATGACAATTTGGGGGCCACTTACCACTTACACCACTTAACAAAAAAAAAATCTTGGTTAACCAAACAATACACTTATGTGTCACATGACAATTTGGGGGCCACACACCACTTACCACAGTAGCCTCCTGAGACAGTATAACCTAGAGTCATCATGGCTGCATTACTTTGTGTGACTGTACTCTGAGAGTTTTGCACATAAATTATTCAGTGACACGTCCTCCTTATCAAGACATGCATAAGTATTTAAGAATATGATAAAACAATCAAATAAGAATTTGGATTTGGGCTGGGGATTTAGCTCAGCAGCATAAGCGCCTGTCTTATAAGCAGGCAGTCGTGAGTTCGATCCCTGGTACCGATAAAAAGGAAAAAGACCAAAAAAAAAAAAAAAAGAATTTGGATTGATACCCAAAAATAAATACAATTTATCACATTCATAAAGAATGAAAACTGCACAATCATTTCAGCAGGTGTAGAAAAATTATTTAATAAAGTTCAACACAAATTTGATACAAAACAACTTAGTGAACTAAGAGGAAAAATATGTTAATGTAACAAAAGCTATCTTCAACAAATCTGCATCCTTTATCATGATAGTGAACATCTCAATGCTTTCTATTCAAGATAAGAACAAAGCATGGTTATATTTTCTACCACTTCTAGTGAACAATTTAGTGGACATGTTTGCCAGTACAGGTAAGCAAGAGGAAACAGCCTATGAATTAATTGCATGAGTAGAAGCTGTGTTTGTAGATTGTATGTGCATAAAAACTCTTTTGTTTGTTTTTTTACATACACACAATCTTTAACTGAAAGATCTGCTAGAACTCAGTGAATGTAATGAGATCATTAGTTACAATGTTAATTTTCAAACAATCTTAAATACTAGAAATAAGAACTAAGGGAATACATGCTAAAAGCTACATTTATAATGGCATCCCCACACTTGAGCTATTTAGACATACTTTTTGAAAAATGTGGACAAACTGTAAAGAAAACTACAAAACTTTGCTGAAAGTACAGAATTCAATAAATGGCTTTTTATTTTACTGAGCTGAAGGACTCAGTATTAAGATAATTTTCTACCCATCAATTTATATTTATAACAAAGATTTTAAGAAACTGACTCTAAAATTTATAGCAAAAGCAAAATGACTCTTGGCAACCTTCTCAGAGGTGTTTGAAAAATTCAGAAAACTTTAAACTATATTTCTCAGCCTTCACTGAAGCTAGAAGTCTGGAGAAAAAAAATCAATGTAGCATGTAGAAGCACCCACCTAATTTTGGAGGAAAGACTTGAGGCATAGTCCATCTTCCTGCTGCTTCTATTTTTGGCAAACTGAAGTCAGACACGAGCAAGTGTTGTGGTAGCCTTTTTCTTTACCTAGTTATTGGGGTCATGGGAATAAAAATCCATTGTGCAAAAGATAGTGGCCATAGAAGCAAGTGTCCCTAACCTCCTGATTGTGCTAAATGTGATCCTGATGTCAAGAGTACAACTCCTGATGTCAACTTCTTGCATCCACAGTTCTTTGAGTCTAATAAACTTGTAGGGATTTATTTCTTCACCCAAATGTAGCTCATCCAATATTCCAACATTTTAAATTTATTTTTGGTTTAATTGATTTCTTTCTCTGTTTCCAGGAATACTGATCTCTCTTCAAATGTGTCCATTACAGAAGTAATGCTATTAATTGAGGCTAAAATTGAAAATTGTTGCCTCATTACTGGTATTTCTAATCTTTATATCTGTTTATGTGTGATTTACACCTGCTGCTTTTGTGTTGTGGGCCCTGGCTTGGCTATTAATGGATGCTAATCCTTCTTTCATTTCCCAAACATATTTATTTTGACGTCTTTGTCATACTTTTCTATGAAAAGGAATTGTACTGAGAATGAATTCCTGTCTGAATGTCAATTTTGTTTGCAGTCTCCTATGATATTTCTTTATGTTCTGCCACTGTGAGCTGCAATTTTAGGGTAGCCTTTTATTTTTCTTCCATTCATTTATAGATTGAACTTACGGTTTTAATTTTTTACCCCTTGCCTGAGTAGAACTGTATCCTGAGATCTTTTGCCGTCAGTGCCTCCCACCACAGCAGGTGGGAGATAAGTCGCCACGCTACTGATGTGGATGGAGGTTATATGACTTGCTTTAGTCAGTTCACTTCTAATCTTGTTATTTTTCTTCAGGAAGTACATGGTAGTATCTGCTAGGCCAAGAATAAAGATATGAGAAACAAGATAAACTAAACTTGAAGTCTGGAACCAACTGTAGCCCAACTCTACCCACTTCCTGTTGATCTGACATTTAGATTGTAGAGAACATTTTGAATTAACATGAACGCAGCTAAAACTGACTAAAAAACTTCGATGAGAATTCTATGAAGAAATTCTCATACAAGATTCTTCTATGAAGAATCCTAAAATGTGTCTGTTCATATGAAGTTGAAACCACGGCAGCCAAGACTGTGCAGCCAAGAAACACATTAAGTGCCACTCTTGCCGAGAACCTGAACGTCTGCAAGGCACACATTCAAATTGTGGCCCTGACCAAAGAGTTACTGGCAAAAAGTTAGTAGTATAAGTGATTACTATTTCTATATTTGATACGAGATAGGAGACAAACTGAGGATCTAACTGGCCAGTGTGTATACAGAATTGAAAGTAAGAATATAGAGAACCCAGAAGGCTCACAACTTTTAGAAATGATATTGGTTCTCACCTCAAACTGTAGACAATGAAAATGAGAAATGTGAAATGCTTGAGACCGGAAATTCACTCTAAGCACAACCTTAGGGCAAAGGCCATTCAAGTGTGTTGTTGTCACCCTCTTTGGCAAGGCCACAGGGGGATGAAGGCAATGCCTTGCAGATAGTTTAAAATACTTCTGAGGGTGGTACAGACGCACACAATCCTAAAATAGCCCAAGTGGTGGAAAGATATCTCAGAAAGAGTCCCAGAAGCTTCATCACACAACAGCAAACTATCTGTTAGACCAATCTATCAATGAGGAAAATAGTTCTGAGACAAGTCAAGGACTAAACTGTTCTTCACAGCATGGTTAGCTCTGCTGGGCCAAGCATGTTCATCTATGGAACATTAGTAAGGGCTTAGGAATCCCGTGTGTTCTGCCCTCCCAGATTCCTGCAGTATTCTCTGAACGTCTTACTGGGTCTAACATTGTGTGCCATCCGCACAGGTTCTATTGTCTGCCTTCCTGCTTGTCCCCATCAGCAGTGGATTTTTGTATTTTCCTTGGAGTATGTAAGCCCAGTTACTGCCCATGATGTTTTGGGTATTCAAAGGCTTTTTAATGTCTAGGGCCTCAATTCCTTTGATAGTACAATTCCTTCAAAATCCCGGTAGCCCTCTGGCCTATTTTCTTCCAGCGTATATCATGAGACAATTGCAACAGCCAAATAATTTACTAATTAAATTCTCCGGCCTGAATCACTTTTCTGCCCCTGTAGTCTCTGTGTCATGCTTTAACTTTTGTTCCTGCAGGTTCTCATTTTATGAAACGTATTTCTTTGTGAGTTTTTTTCACTTTGATTCTGATGCTCATTTCATTTTGTAAAACTATTTTGGTAAAACTATATTTGGTATTCCCCAAAGTATAGGATGAGAGTTCTTTGTTCTGGGGAGAATTCAGGTGTCATCTACCAGATGTGGCAGTGTCATTTGAGCTCCACCCTTCATGCTAAATTTGCATCAGGAAGTTTACTGACTACACCATGTCAGAGGAACTTGGGCTGCAATTTCACAATGACTGGCAGGAGTCACAAGTGTCCGGGGTTAAATTTTTATATTTCTATCCCTTTTAAACTTTGTATTATTCCATTCCGTGTGGCAGCTGCCTTCCCTCAGTACTCTGGGCTGAGAAAAGGTAGGTATACCTTTGGTTTCCTCTAGCCAGGAGGGCAGCATATTTTTCATTTCTGATGCAGTTGCAGGACAGTCTCTGATAAACATTTCTTCCTTGGATAACCATGTTTCTGTCTCTCTCTTCCAAACTTTCTTAGTACCAGTAAATGATCTACGGTAAATTTAACTTTGATACTGACACGTACCCCTTCCTTTTCTGGGCTCAGTTTTTCTCCTAGAATTTTTTCTGGTAATTCCTACTCTCTGATGTTACCACCAACATGGTTTGTTATGGTTTGGATATTAAGCATCACCCAAAAGGTCCTGTGCTTGGGCACCAGACTGTGGTGCATTGGGAAATGGTGGTGTCTGTAGGAGATCGGGATGGGGGAAGGAAGTTACATCAGTGAGGGCAAGACCTTAAAGGGAATATTCAGACTCTGGCTCGATGCCATCTCTGCTCGATGGCCACCAGGAGTGGAACATTTTTCCCTTCCCTGTGCTCCTGCTGTGATACTCTGTCTCACCACTGGCCCCAACACAATGAAGTCAGCCAACTATAGACTGAAACCTCAGAAACTGACCCAAAATAAATCTTTCCTCCTCTTAAATTAATTTTCTCAAGCATCTTGTTCCAGTGATTGAAACACAATGATTTTTAAGATTTTTTTTTTAAATCCAGTTACCATGGTCATCTTTTAGGTGGTGATTAGTTCAAATGACTTATTAAGAAATAGATTCCTACACCATGTGTACTGCTCATCACATATACTGTTAACTAACTTGAAAAATTGACCTAGAGGTAAGAGGAAATGGTATTTATTTGGGAAACAAAGAATTCTATAACACTGAGTCAGGGTGGACCTGCACAGTGTCCATGAAGGCAAACTCAGGAGAAGTATTTTTTAATAGAAAGTTTTCACAGTAGTTGTTTTTGGAGGCTGTTCATTGGTTGGGTAGAAAATTATAAATTGCAAACCATTTTGATTGGTCAGTTAGGGCACTGTCAGTTGAGATACTGCAGAAAGGTAGAAACTGGCTTCAGCTGTTTATCAAGTATGTAGAAACTTTGTGTGATTTAATCTTTAGCAGAAATATGTGCAATTTCTTTGCAACCTCCACTTGAGAAAGTCCTAGACTTAATAACTTCATTTTCTCGAATAAAGCCTGTAAAAAAAAAAACCAAAATGTTGAGGGACGAAAAAAAAGCACGAGGCAGGATAATATAATACACATAAATTGAAACTATAAAGCCAAAAGGAAAACCATGCAGTTCATAAATATTTACATGGTTATAAAACCTTTAAAGGCAGAATCAAAAGATATGGACAATAACAATGAAGGACAAAAATAAGAGATTTTAAAAATAGAAAAAAATGGGAGTAAATGAGTGCTTTAATTTTACCTGTAATATTTTATTTCATTATTAAAAGAAAGACTTGAAATATTTGACAAAATTAATTCACAACATAATTTGAAATTATGGTCACTTATTGTGTATGTGCACACGTGTGTTTTTTATATATGCTAATTTAAAAAAAAATTAAAAATGGTTTAAAGTTAGTTTTGGAATAGCAAAATAATTAGAGACCCTAGCTTATTTTGTATTATTTCTCATAATTTGAAGTCTGCAGAGGACATAGTAATAGGATTCTAGGAAGCAGGAAGAGAAGATATGTTCTAGAGATCTAATCTAATTTGTGACAGGAAATAATTTTTTCAAATGGGAAGGTGACCAAGAAATGGAGGGAGGAGGATTAAAAAAGAGGTAAAGGGGACTAAAAAATGAATTAAGATATGCTGTGTACATGTACCAATTCCATACAGGGTATGTAAATATTATGTACTGCAAACATGGACCAGTAAAAGCCTTTAAAAATCATGATCCCAACAACCATGTAGGGAAAGAGTTACACTTAATCTCTTCCTCATCTTGAGAGCAGTCATGTGTTGTTAATCACAAATGGGAGGAAACACACAACTAATCTTTGAAAGAACAAATGGGCAAACTTGCACAAAATAAGTTTTTTCAAAAAAAGAAAATGGCAGTCTTAAATAGCAAAGAAAATAAAGTACAGGCAATAAAGGAAATGTGCATACATTATGTTCTTCTATTAAAATTTAAGGATTAAGGGTTGAGATTTTGGGGGAGAAAAACTATCTACAAGAGACCTTTCACATCAGTAAAGAAAGAAATTTAAGGATATGCAAAGATCAAGTTTAATTTTAATGCCAATTATAAATGGCAAAATGTGTGATAAGATGCAGCATAACTATGTAAAGATCAGACTACAGTGTGACTCTGACTAAAGATTTCAATGGTTCTCCGCTTGAATCAGATAGAGAAAACAGAATGAAAGCACCAAAGTTTCAGAAAAGCAAGAGTACACCGCTTATAGAGTCAACTTGCCGCCTTCCTGTACTCTGAACATTGTGATGCTGGTACTGTCTTGAGTTTTTAATCTGTTCAGAATATGTCAACTAACAGTGACACAACTGTATCACTATCCCGAGAGCAGAAAGCCATGACGTGAAGCATCCCATTCCAGAGTCTAAGATGTGGGGATCAAGGGTCTTGTTTTGGAATCTCAGTTATGGATTTTTATATGTCAATAAACCATTTACACAAGAACATCATATACTTGACAACAAAGTATGAATTGTAGCAATAGTCTATTTCAATAGACAGAAAATGTTAAGAGATATGGCTAACAAAATCTTAAAAGGCTTAAAAGTTAAAAAGACATTCTCAGATGACCCTAAAGTCAAAGACAGTACTGAAAAACTGTCAATATTTTGGAAAAGAATGAGTAAACAATTTTAACCAAGTCTCATAGAGTGGAAGACTTTACAGTGAAATGTGTAGGCTTTAAATTCCTTCATTGTTAAGAACAAAACAAAGATGAAAAATAAAGGAATTTAAAACTTATCTGTAAAAATTAAATTAAAGACCACAAATAAACTGATGTCAGTGAAAGATCCAATAAATAAAATACAAACATATTAGTCAAGACACATAGAGAATCAGAATATTAAATGCAATCTAAGACTGTAGTCTGAGATCAGTGGAAAACCTTCAAAGTTTGAAATCCTAAGAGTTACATAATGAATATAGGCATTTTAAATAACATAAAATGGAAATTATATTCAATGAATGAAATTAACACAAAAGCAACAAATAGCAAATCACTATACAAATGACACACATGGTCAGTGTGTATAATATACAATAATTTTCTTTTTTTTTTTTTTTTTTTTGGCTTTTTCGTTTTTACCGGTACCAGGGATCGAACTCACGACTGCCTGCTTTTGAGGCAGGCGCTTATGCCGCTGAGCTAAATCCCCAGCCCCAATAATTTTCAAATAAATGTGATATAAAGCTGAATGCAAAATGGAAACACACACAAAAAAGAAAAAATTTAGCAAGGCAAATAAAATTGAACAAGAATATTTGAAAAAATGTTCAAACATCCTAGAAGCCAAAGGGGAAAAAATTAAAATAGCAATTTATGAGACCAATAAAAATTGAGACATAATACCTATTTTACCAAAGGGTGAAGATGTAAAATAGACACAAAAAATGAAGCTTAATAAGTGACCTGTATCCGTATCTAGATAATGCAATTAAATTCTATTAAAATGTTTCGATATTAGGTAAACAGTGACAGTAACAAGTTGGATGGGAACAAACAAAAATAACCTCATACTGGTAAGTGTTAACTATATAATATCTATGAATGTAGATATCCAGAAAGATTTGGGGAATATGTGAAGTAATTATTAACATGTCATGTAGCCAGGTGTCATGGCATAAGCTTGTAATGCCAGGATTCAGGAGCTGAGGCAGGACAATTGCTGAACCCTATTTTTTAAAAAAGCCAGAAAAAGAACTATAAAAATAGGTCAGGGAGCAGGTGGAGCAAAAATGGCAGATAGATACCAGCTGGCTAGAGAAGCTCCCTGAGATAGTCAACTTAGAATTCAACATAATACAGCATGGGGCGCCCCAAACAGAGGGGGATGAATTCTCTCCTCCCAAGAAGAAACTAAGGTGAGAAGAGCCAATCAAACGTACAGTCCTGGTGCTATTATTGAAACAGCTAAAGGTTCAGTGCTCCCGTTGCAGCGAGGTCCTGCTGCTTTGTCTCACTGGAGGCACAGTCACACTGAGATTGGGAGTCGACAAGCAGAATGGAGAGCTGAGATGGCGGAGAGCCTGCATCAACCTGTGGTGAGTGATGGGAGTGGAGCCATTCCACAGAAAGGGGGGGGCTCCGGGGGATGACATTCTGGGACCAGGCAGGACTGGGAAGTACAAGGGACAGCAGTGACTTCAGTCAGTTGTTCCCTTCCTGAACAGGATTGGTGGAGTGAGCTAGGCCTGGGTCATGTGACCTGGCTGAGACCCAATAGGGTATCCCAAATCAATTCCCGATGGCAGCAGCACACACTAACATAGTGAAGCCCCAGAAGTTTGACAGACCTGGAGGGGAGGTAGCATAGTAATACAGTACAGATCTCAGCACCTTGACTGATCCAGAGGGGAGGGGCCAGCATACATTGCACCTGTCTGCAATTCACTAGCACACTGTAGTGGAAAGGGTCACCTAGCCAGTGTGCTTCAGAAGAATTGTAACCAACAAAGAGAGAACCTGGGGCCTCCTGGAAGAAACAAAAATATTGGAAGAGGAAGCAACAAGAAAAAGTCCCCAGGTCCCAACCCTGAGAACATTGATCCAGGACAGGTAAATACAAAGGAGAATGAGAACAGCAAACATGCAATATCAGACACAGCACCAGTGAACATTAAGAGATTTCTTTGGGACCTCATAGACGAGTTCAAAAGTGAAATATTTAGCCAAGTTAAGCAAGATATAAGAATATTCATAAAAGAGATGTTAAGCACCCCTCAAGCAGACACAGACAGAAGAAGGGAAGAACTCACACAAAGGAGAGAACCATTTGATGAAGAATATAAAGAAAATATAGAATACATGAAGCAGATTCAAAGAGATTACCAGGAAATTAAAAAACCCTATGGAAAGATGGCAAACCTGCTTGAAAGAAACTAAGGATAGATTATCCAAATTGGAGGACAGTTTTGCAATGTGGGAGTATGAAAGGGAAAACTTTTTTTTAAAATCTTTTTATCGGTACCGGGGATTGAACTCACGACCGCCTGCTTGCAAGGCAGGTGCTTATGCCGCTGAGCTAAATCCCCAGCCCCCTAAAATGGTCTTATATGTCTTTTTCATTTCATATGTTTATAGGAATATGTTTTGTTTTGTCTTATTTTGTTTTTCCCTCTAATATAGAAAGGATAGAAATACATGTTAAGACTCATTCATGTGTAGAATCTATAAACATTTTATGAGAACTGATCTTATGACACATGATGAAATGAACAGGTACTTTGAAAAAAAGAGACACTAAAGTACCCAGTGCTGATCCTGGAGTGTAGTAATGTGAAACTCAACAATAGTATTATTCTTTGTTCAGAGTGATGTTAGCCTGCTTGGATTTGTTCCATCTCAACATAATTGAAGACATGGATAACTGCATGTATATTTAAGTGTATAGGTTTGATAACCATATTTCTAAGTTTTTGTTGGATAGTTGAACAGAACTGGTTGCAGTCTCACTGTTTGAATCCTCACTTCATATGCTCCACTTTAGTATCTTGAATAACTATTTGTAAGAGGACAATCTATAATCATCAACTAGTGATTTCTTACTGTTTATTTTTTTCTTTGACAGTATGCATTATTTCTACCCATTTTATTTTTTGTTTAGTTTTCTTTAAATAAAATTTTTAAAAAGAACTATAAAAATAAACCCTGAAGAAATTAAAGTAAATCACTCCCGTTGATATAAAAATGAGAAATTTTTATTAACTTAAAATAAAATCATTGTAATGGCAATAAAGTTTTTATTGAACTCTACAAAAGACAATCAAGGTTTATATACTTGAAAGAAATAATTCAATAATATCATTATTTGAAGAAACATAATTATTTCAGGAAAATGATGAGAATTGCTTTCTTAAAAATTAGTCTTTATCATAAGATTTACTACTGTATGAATGACAAATAAAAGAAGCCTGTTTCTCATAACTCTAAGCAATGATACTGTATTATTAGTTCTCAAAAATACTTTTTGGATGAAATTAATAAGCACATTACTAATCAGTATATAAACTGGAACAACTTATAAAAAAGTTAGTTTTAAATGATCATTGGTATGATAATTTACGAATATTCTAATTAACCATTTCTATTAAGTCTACATAAATTGTACCATGATCTAAGATTTATTTTTTTTAACTTTTCTGTCTTTTTGAGCCAAGGTTTCACTATGCAGTTGAACTCACTTTGTAACCTAACTGGCCTTGAGCTCCCAGCAATATTCCTGCCTTAGCCTCTCGAGAACAGGAATTATAGACATGAGCCACTACACGTGGCTGCGCTAAGATTTAGAACACAGGTTATATAAATCATTAATCATCCAGTAGTTGATGTTGAAATTCAAACTACAGATAATGATCTATCAAAGTGTATAGGTTTCATTTAATTTCATTTTTTTTTTTAGCTTAAAATAGGAAAGGTCTAAACTTGGTGCAACAGCATGCATTTTAAATCCCAACACTCTGGAGGGCCGAGGCATCTAACAATCTCAAGTTTGAGCATTTAGAGACCCCAATTCAAAAATAAAACGATTAGAGAAAGGGCTGGGTATGTAGCGTGGTTCAAACCCCAGTACTACAAAAAGTAGAATAAAATGAAATGGTCTTGTGTACAAATGAAAGAGGACGAATTCCCTCACCAGAATAGAAAGTAAGTTTTCTTTAGTTGATGCTTATCTTCATAACTTCAACATTATTTTGCAGGTCTAATAATCCTTAAGAACCAGTATTACACCTATCAACATTATATTATTTTAGAACCATACCAGGATACAAATGGTACAATTACAATCCTCTTTCTGTAGCTGATCATGGAATTGTAGCTAGTATTCAGAACTACTCTCTTCCATTACACATTCTGTATTCCTTTGGCCTTCAGCAAGTACCTCAGCAGTCTTGGTTCTTTCCCTGGTAGAGTGTCCCATACCTTCATTCCTCAAGGTTCTGGATCATTTATCATTCTACCTGTATTAGGTTGTCACACTGACAATAATAGGGCATTATATTTGAAGCTATATTCAATATTTTACTGTAAAAATCCATTACTTTTTTATTACTTAATGATAGTGTTAAAATTAAGATGATTTACTATTATCTGCCTTTATTTTATTGACTTACTGATATTTTTTAGGAATTGTATTAGCTAAATTATTTAAAGATAGAATTTATTTAATATGTGCATAAAATTTTTCCCCTTGATAATTACAACCTTTTCTCTATTGAGCATGAGCTTTAACAAAAATTTTAGTCCTTTTCTGATTAAATATCTTGAGTGTTTCAATATTTAAGGATCCAACTTTTGAGCACCACTTGCATACATTTATCTTTTCATTGTCATTTTAATTACTCCTTTTTTTGTTAGGAAAAAATATCCAACACCCACAAATTGAAGGACAAGAGGTCTATTTTGGTTCACAGTTTGTGGATGTTTCATTCCCTAGTCAGCTGGTTCCAAGGCAGGGAGCCATGACAGAGGGTCATGGCAGGCAGGAATCAGAAAGACTCTCATCTTCCTTCCTGTTTTAGTTCATCCAGGCTACAAACCTATTGGTTGATGCTACTCACACCAGGTGGGTCTTCTCTCTTAAATAAGCCCACCAACCATATCTGAACAGAAATAAAGCAATCAGTAGACTATATTAGTATCACACACTCATGATCCAGTATCACACACCGAAAACCACTCTCAAAAGACCCACTAACAAGTGCATGAGGCATTGGGAGATATCTAGCTGTTACCCATAACAACTATACATTATTCTCAATATGAAAAGATGCTTAAGACTTAGCTTAGTAACTCTCCTCATTGCTAAGAGGATGCCTGTCACTCAAAGTTAAGAAGGAAAGATTTATTAAGTTCACAGTTTGTACAATTTTCAGTTAATAATTGGTTGGCTTTAAGGCAGAGGAGAAACAGTTCATGGTGAGGAGAATGCAGCAAAATCAAGCAAAGGAGAAGGCACATCTCTTTCTATCCCTTACACTGTATCCAGGCTATCAGATTTAGGGAAGTACAAAACCAATCAGCAGACTGATTTATTTAATCCTAATCCTAACACCTGTAATCTGAACTTTGTATTGTGAATCAGTCACACACTCTAGATTCAACCACCTCTAAGAAGACCCCATCTATGACTGCATGGGGTTTTGGGCAGACATCTAGACTCAAACCGTAGCAAGACTTCTCTGATGTTTATACAGTAGTAGATGATTTTTCAGACTGTGGCTCAATATACCATCTCTTTTTTTATTTTCAGGTTCAGAAACTTCATATAAAAGATAGTTAAAAAGGATCATTAAGAAACGTATTTAGAGCTTTGGGCAGGGCAGTATCGTAGCCAGTGAGGTTTATCCAAGGTGCAATTATTGCTAATAAGAAATGATTTTAGAATTTGTTGAATATTTATTTTTAATATTAATATATATGCTTTAAAAATCTAAGTACTACATATTTGCTAATCACATAAAAACGTCTCTGTGAACTATAAAACAATAGCTAAATTATCTAGAAACTGTAGCTGTTTCATAAGCCAAGAGAGGTCTTATGAGAGTCCACTAAGCTCAGTCTGCTGAGAACAATCTACTCCACTACCCGGTCTGAACCAAGTCCCTGATTGAACACTAATTTTAATTTTATAACTTATTGAAGACATTACTAGATATATCATGCATCATGATCTTTGCCAACTCCCCCTGCCATGGCCCATGCTTTATCACTAAGCTGGATTCCTTTGTGCTTATCCCTAATCACTCCTCCCTAACTGACACCTGTTCAAATTCACTCCAACACATCTCTAAGCACACTCACTGAGACTCCTGAAGGAATACTTCTGAAAGCAATGATGCAATTACCTTTACTTTCTAGAAGAGTGGCTAAGGGTCTTTTCAGTGAAAAAAAATTGATAATGCACCTGCAGAACCTACTGAGCCAGAAATCCTTAGTGTTGGCCCAGAAATCTGGCTTAACAGGCTCTCAAGATGCTTCTGTTAAAAGCTAAGTTTAAGAATTAGGAAGTAAATAAATATTAAAGCTTTGTTTGGTAAAGGTAACTCAAACAATGCAATGTTAGGAGATAGTCAAACATATGAGAGATAACAACACAAATTATTAGTAAGTAAAAGTATTAGTAAGTTATGGGCAACACAGTATATACAGGACATAATTTTCAGTTAATTATGGAATCCAGAGCTTCAGAGGAGAAAAGAAAGCAGACCATGCTGATATTGAGTATATGTCAGTAGATAAGATGGAGTAAGCCCGGCTGCATGGGGCTTTGGTTTAGTGAGGGGAGACCCAGAACAGAGAAGTCGATTTTGAGTTGATTGAGTGCCATGATGGGCAGATTGCAGAACTGCAGAGAGGATAAATGGGAGGAAGAATCATTGTACAGAGGTCAGGAAAGGATATTTTGAGAAAGTGACATTTAAACTGAGACCTGACGTGTGAGAAGAAGTCAGCGACAGCTCACAGCTGTGGTGAAATCTGGAGAAAGAAGATTTCAAGAAGCAGAAGTAAGTCAAAAGCTCTGAAAGGGAAATGAAGTTAAATTACAATAATTTCTACGTTTGCTTCCCTAATTTCTGTTTCTCTTTTGCCTCTTTTTTCGTGTTATATCAGCTAGGGATTTAACTTTCACTTCTTAACTATAAAGAATCATTTCTTGAATTTATTTCTTAGTTGTCCTCTGGACTTGTTTTCTTTCCCTTTTTATTTTCATTTTTCAGGCTTTATTTAACATTGACAAATCCAAACCAATAAAATGTATGGTCTGAAAAGTTTTGATCTATTTATGCACCTATTAAAAAAACCTCACCTTCTGTTATTCCCCAGTTACTTTTGTGCTCTGCTCAGAAGCGATCCCTTTATTTAAGTCCTTCTCATTCACTCTCATCTGCCTGAGGCATTTGCCCTGGTAGCCAGTCCCTCCTCCTCTCTCCCCCAGGACTGATTGCTTCTTCTCACAGTCTCCTTCATTTTGCTGTCTTCGAAATTAAACTTCCAATGAATTTGCCTGTTCTCACCTCTCATTTCCCACCTGCCCTTCTTTTTGATTCTTACTCAGTTAGGGTCTCTTTCCTATCACCCCAACAAAATACCCTTCACTATCAAATAGTGACCATTTCTGGAGTTCAAGTCTCAAAAGTGTCTATTGAATATGCATTTCTTTATTTGCTTGTTGTCCATCTGAATAGAATAGTAGGTCTTTTTTTCTTTACTATATTCTTAAGATCTGCCACAGTCTCCAGCATATCCTAAGTGCAAGCTGTTTGCTGAAGGTTTTTTGACTGCCCTTCATGTATAGTTTTGTTTGTATAAACTGTATTTTGTTATGTTACTTTTCTGTGCTAGGGAGAGGAGAGATACAGAAATACCTGGTCGTAGGTCACATGATGTTTTCTTTACAGTTATTAATATTTTGTAGAAAATACAATCTTCAGAGCACGTATTTGATGAAGACATATTGAATGGGGCAAGTGAGGAAGCGGGTTGCAATATCTTTGCTGGCTCCAGTTATTGCATTAACTTGGCTCGGGGTGAGCCGGAAATCTTGGCTCTGAATGCTGCAGTACAGTGTGTTCCTTCTTGGAAAACTGTATGACAATGATCAGCTGGAGCTGTCATTCACCTTTTCTTCCTCACGTTGAGACACTCCAGATTGCCTTTTGCAAAGGAGGCATGACGTTGAGGTTTTGCTGCTATTTGTGTTACTTCTAAGTCCTTTCCTTTCTCCTTTGATATTCCAGTGCCTGAGAGAGCTAGTTGGTACTCCCTGCCCAGTCAGCTCTACTTATTTACCTGAAACAACTTCTGTTTATGTGCCTGGTTTTTTTTTTGTACTCTCCACTAGAACCAACCTTCTTCATAAGGAGCTCTGTTTGTTTTATTCATTATTGAATTAATTGTGTTGTATTGAATTAATTAATTCATTATTGAATTAATTGTGCTTGGCATGTTATTGGCTCAGTAAATATTGTATGAAGCTACTTAAATATCAAGTTATATGTAGGGGCTGGGGATTTAGTTCAGAGGTATAAGCATCTGCCTGGCAAGCACAAGGCCATGAGTTCAATCCCTGGTACAGAAAAAAAAAAAATAAAAGAGTTATATGTATCCCCTAAGGGCTAAGCCTAGGCTATTGGTGCAATTCATACAAAATAAACTTATTTGCATGGAAAAGCAACAAAAAATCCTGGCTTGGCATCACTGGATTTAATTGAGTTTGTTACACATGCCTTTTATTCAATGGTGTTTATTAAGCAGTTAAAGATACTCACTTAGGTAGCCTTTCTGCCTTCTTAATCGTTTTGTTCTAATTCTACTCTAGAGGATCATGGATGATTTTTATTTTTTATATGTATTTTTTGGTCTTTTTAAGGCAGGATTTCACTACGCAGTTCACACTGGCCTTGAACTCACGTTGCAATCCAGGCTGTCCTTGGACATGCAGTGGGTTGCTCCAGCCTCAGCCTCCAAGTACTGAAATTACAGGCATGTACCACCATGCCCAGCTATCATGGATGATTTTTCACATATCTGCAATCCATTGCTTTGGTTTGGTTTCCAAAATCATGTTTTCTTTTTGTTTCTTGATTAACAGTTACACAAAGAATAAATCTTGATTAGAGAACAATGTATATCACGGAGAGAGAAAGGCCAAGTTAAAGGTACATTTGTACACTTCATAATAGGAAAATAATGTCCTTTCCTATTGGCTGCAATTTTCTTAGTGGATTAACCAGAAAGAATTTAGGCCATACCCTCTAATAACTTCAGCATTAAAACTGTCATGTGGAGCACGATAGAAAAAATATGTTGTGATTTAGAAGGCTAAAGGCAAGACACTGTAAGCTAACAGAAATTTTAGGGTCCATAGGAAATACTGCATGCCAGTTGAAGGTTTCTAAGCCTTCATTTATATTGAAAATCATCAGCCATCTGTGTGGCTTTTTGCCAAGCAAAATTAAAGTCCCGGAGTCCACGCGGAGAGAGCAGATGCTTGAATTCACCCGGAGTCAGGCATTTGCGCACGAAGCAGAGGGAAATGGCACCCAGTGCTGGAAGCGCGTCTGTGAGAACGCTTCTGTCCAAACTGAGCAAGCAGAGCGTGGTAACAGGGACCCACGGGTAGTGACCAGTTGATTGGTAGTCTTTTTCAGGTCAAAAAAAGAAGTTTTTAAGGGAGAGAACTGCTTCTGTAAATCAGCTGGACAGTCGACAGGTAGTAGGCGCAGGATGCTTGAGGTCAGCAGTGATGGAGAGACGCGGAATGCTGGGTGGGTCGCCCTAGTGAATGGGGAAATCTTGGAGGTTTTCCCTTTGCCCTGTCAAATACAGCATGCTCTGGCCTTGGCTCTCCATGGGCATCTATTGTACGCTGCCTTATCCTTGTTCAGGGAGCTTTGGTCTTCTCTTGGTTCTTGCTCCCTAGGGCACCTTCACCCCGTACATTTCCAGCTTGAAGACTTCTATGGCCTCTTCTTTTCCTTACATCTCACTGGTTCCTCTTACTTCTCTCCTCTCCCCTTCCCTCCTCTCTTCTCCCCTCCTCCTTTTCCTACCTTCCCTCCCCTCTACTCTCTCCCCTCCCTGTCTCTGTCTCTCTCTCATGTTGCATTGAAGCATATTTGTTACATCCCATACATTATGTTCTGTATAACTCTCGTGTTGTGTATCATTCCTTCTGTCTATGTTTTGTTTCATATTTGCCTTAACAGTCGAGTATAAACTCCATGAAGGAAGGAATCATATGTATCCTACTCGGCATGACATTTCTGTTCCTTCAGTATACTGCCTCCTTATGGCTGTTCAATGTAGAAAATTAAGCAAATGACAAACCAAACATGTATCCACATATATGATGTTTACCTTGTTTTGTTGTTGGCTACACATGACAGTTTTAATGCTGAAGTTATTAGAGGGTATGGCCTAACTTCTTTCAGTGGTGATAATTAACACATCATTTTATAAACTAGTCTTTTGAGAGTTATGAATTATGAGAGTCTTCACTGTTACTTTATTATATTAGATTCCAAAGTAAATTATTGATTCCCTGATCAGTAATTTCTATTTTATTTTGGATTACCATGCTTTACATTTATTTTTTTCTTAGACTTATCCTCTTCCTCTACAGAAGGCTAAAATCTCAAGAAAAAATTATCAAACTACTCCTTTGGATTCAAAGAGCCACTTCCAAAGTGTAAGCTAGCTATACATTAAACCTGTTGCCACCCACAAAGATCTTAAGCTTCCATAATTCCTGTAGAGAAAGAATATGCGGTTTAATATAAACCAGTCAAGTAGATCTGAGGGTTAGAGGGACTGGTTCTTTATTTCAAAAAGACAATTGTCTATATTCAGTATCAAAACAGTTGAAAACTATTCCCAACTTTTAGACATATTTTATTCTTAAAAATAAGGCAAATTATTAAAAATATCACTAGATGTAGTTATGCACTAAAAATTATATTTCAAAGAATTTAACACCAGAGTGTCCAAAGCAATTTGCAATTTCTCTGTGTGTTTATCTCTGACATTCTACCCTTTTATCATCTAGTTACAAATAATCTTCCAGCATTAAAACATATTTTCTTTGAACGACTTAGGGGAGAATGTTAAGCTCATATACCTATCATGTTTCATATTTAATAAAGATGTAAAGAGATCAAACTGCTTATCATTTTTTACTCAGATGTGTATATTATCCCAAAATTTGTTAGACAGAGACACGGGATCCTGAATAAAGTAGTAAAAGATTCCTGAAGTTTGCTGTTTCTCAGAGTCATTTTTCCAGAAGTCCTTTGTCATGGATCCAGGTAATCTACAGTCAGCATGTTTCATAAGGTATCAGGCACCCACTGACTTCCTCGACAAGAATATAGCTGCCTTCACTGGAAAGGCTATCAAGATCTTTTCTCCAATTTTATTTTCTTCCTCTCTGGGTGTCTGATTAAGTGTGTGTGTGTGTGTGTGTGTGTGTGTGTGTGTTTATCTGTACAGATTGTTCTATTACATTATTTAGCTATAGCAAGAGGCATGACAGCTGGCTAGGTCCCAGGTTTTTGTGTCTATTCAAGTGCTACATCCAGAGCAAGAGTGAAGTAAGTTCCACAGAAAGGACTCTGTCACCGGACGGTCAAGGGCCAAGCTTTAGATCAGTTTCTGTGCAGAGATATGAGGTCATAATGCAATAATATTTTACCTCAGAATCCAGCTGACCTTGTGGATCAGCCAGATCAGTTACCGGGGAAGAGGACTGCTGGGGCAGGACATGTATAGGTGCAGGGTTTAGTGCATGTGATTGGAGGGCATCGCCTTTTTAAGTTTTAGTGCCAGCCATTATTTAAGGCACACATTGCAGATGGACTCATATTCAGAGTAGACCAGAACAAGATTACTCTTATTTTCTGATTCTTCTGTAAAAGTTGGATTGGTCTAGGTAAATCTCTAGAAAAATCTAGAGTAAATTTCAGACCTGGACCTTTTTCTGGTTGAAGAATCACTAATTTCTGGCTCCGTCCTTCTAATCAAGTACTATCTTGCACATTTCCCTATTTCTGCAGCCAAATTGGAGTTTCTCCTTTAACCCCAACCTCTGCTTATGCTTGGTTCAAAGTCTTGTAGTCCAGCAATTCGAGGACTTTTCCACAGTTGAAATGTAAGTTCCTCTCATTCTTTAACTCTGTAGATCATAAACTTCAAAAGTGCTTCTCAGGCTTTTTTTCCCTCTCCTCTCTCTCCTTCTTTCCCTAAAGGTTGCTGAGGAATAGATGTGGTCCTTATCTTTGCTCCCCTACAGGTGAGGCAATGTTAGAATTATTTTGTTATTATAAGGCACTCACTATTAATTTCAGACGAAACAAAAACTAAGGAAAATGATCAAGTAAAAAGGACATTACATAATGGTAAATGAGTCAATCCTCCAAGAAGAAATAACAATCCTTAATATATATGTACCCAACAACAAGGAGTCAAAATATGTGTGGCAGATCTCACAAAATTGTGAGCAGAAATAAAAGAATTCACTAACAGAGTTGGAAACTTCAATGCTCCTTTCTCAGAAATGGAAAGATGCAACAGGTAGGAAATTATCAAGGACACAGTTGCATTCAACAGCACCAGCAGCCAATATGATAGAGCATAAGAGTGTAGACCACATAATGCAACTACAGAAGAACACATTTTTCCTACATTCACATGCACCATTTACCACAAAATATACCACATTTTGGTCCATAATAAATTTTAAGAGAGTATAAATGGTACAATATCTTCTCTCAGACCACATAAGAATTAAACTGATAATAATAAAAGATAGCTGGAGACCTAAAAATTTAAGGAAAAGAAACAACACATGTCTAAATATACATGATCAATGAAGACATCTCAAGGGAAATTTTAAAATGTTTTTAACTAAGTGAAAATTAAAATACAATTTATCAAAAATGAAGACCTTAACAGACATTTAACCAAAGAAAATATACAAAGGGAAGAGGGGTTGAAGGGAGGAGCAAGGAATGGGAGGAAAAAAAGGACAAATCAAGGTGTATTATGTACAAAGTACAACTTCCTTATGATGAATATGATCATTGTATATAACTAAATTGTACCAATAAAACTAATTAAACTTTAGAAAGATATACAAACAAAAAATAATCACATGAAAAGAAGCCTTTCATCATATGGAATCAGAAAAACATAACAAGGAGGTAGCACCATAAACTTATCAAAAGATCAAATTTGAGATTACTGGTGACATCAAATACTTCATGTCATCAAATGAAGTGAATTAGTAACTCATTCATTGATGGAGGAAATGAAGATGTGTACAGTTACTTTGGAAGACAGTCTGATAGTTTCTTAAAATTTTTCATGGTCTTTTGCTACACAGTCTTAACAATTGTGCTCTTTGGCATTTACACAAAGGAGTTGAAAACACAGTCACACAAAATCCTCAAAAGGGATGTTTATAGCAGCTCTATTCATTTTTGTCAAAACTCAGAAGAAACCATGAATGATACTTTTTAGTAGGTGAGCATATAAGCAAACTTTGGAACTTTCTAAAACTATATTAAAAAGAAGTTAGCATCAGAAGATAGGAAATGTAAATAAATCTCTGAAAGATAGACTTTCCTCTCTAATAACTAGTAAGCAAAACTTCCTTTTCAACCATTTGTATAACCACATTAATTTCTAAGTTTCACAAACATTATATGTTCTTCCAGTTGGGCATGGTGGTGCATGCCTGTAATCCCACCACTCAGGAGGCTGAGCCAGGAAAATTGTTGCATGTTCAAGACCAGCCTGCCTGGGATACAACGTTAGCTCAAGGCCAGCCTGAACTACATAGCAAGACCACCTCAAAAAGACAACAAAACATTATATATTCTTTATGCATTAATTTATAAATAATAGAGGAGGTTTGTGTATGGTGATCCATACCCGTAGTCACAGTCGCCTGGGGGCTGGGGCAAAAGAGTTGCTGCAAATTCAAGGTCAACCTGGGCTACATAGTGAGTTCAAAGTCAGCTTGAACTGCATAGAAAGAGCCTATCTCAAAAAGTAATAATAGAGGAAGAAGAGGAGGGAGAAAGAGAAGGGAGAAGGGATGGGAGGGGATAAGGAGAGAAAAGAGATATTATGGTTTGGATCTAAAATGTCCCGCAGAAGTTTCACATATTTAGAGATGAAACTTTTGAAAAGTTACTGAATGACTGTTACTGAATACCATAGTCACTAAGGAGCTCACAGATCAGTGTCCTGAACCTCAAAGCAAGGCCTGCTTAGAAGAGGCAGGACACTGAGAATATGACTGGGAAGAGCATATTCCTGTCCTCAGTGTTATGCTCTATGCTTATCACCCTAGTAACCATGTACCTGGAGCACCGACCACATTGTCATATATTAGTTATAAATTAACTGAGGCGTCACCGTACTGTTCTGTAGGGGTCATCACCTTAGTAACCTGTTTGCTGTGTCAACCATTGTTCCCTTTGTGAGAGACAAATGATGCTGTGTCAACCTTTGTTCGCTTTGTGAGAAACAAATGTTCCTGGAATTAGCAGACCAAGGGCTGTAACTTAAGAAAAAAAAAAAAAAATGCTAACCATCAACTGTGAAACTTCTCTGACCTCAAGCAAAGGGAAACAAAGGCCTTCCTAATTCCTGCTCTGTCACATCACTCGGTTAATGTGCTATAAAAATCTGTCAAAATTCTGACTCAGTTGCACAGCTTTGCAAACTCCAACTGCTCTGTGCTGCTGTGTACCAGCTTAAATAAAGTGGTCTTTTACAGATGTCTTGCCCCCTCCCTTCTTGACAACAGAAAACATAACATCACGGGGCTTTTGGGGGGGGGTACAACACTCAGCTCCTCCCTTCTCTTTCTGCTTCCTGGCTGGCCCATGAGTTGAGCAACGCCCCACCACCTTCTTTTTTACCAAGCCATTTCTGGAAACAGCATTTCATGGACTGGACCTTCTAAATCCATGAATCAAAATAAATTCTCTTAAAAATGGAGGTTGTTGGGATTTTGTTCTGATGCCTGCAAAGTGGCTAATATAGGAGAGGATGGGAAGAGAGAGAGAGGGAGAAAAAAAGAGAGAGAAAGACAGAGAGAGAGAGAGAGAGAGCAAAAAGGCACTGAGAAAAATTAAATGCCTTATTAGTGGTAAATGAGCCAGTTTTAACAGACTATCCTGTGTGATTCCAACTTATGATATTTTAGCAAAAACAAAAGTACAGGACAGTGCATTTGTCTGAACCTGTAAGATATACAGCACCAGGAATAGTCCCTACTGTGCACTGTGGGTGATAATGGATGGTGATTGTGGGTAACAGTGGGTTTATGTAGGTTCATTGTTGTAACAAATGCACCACCCTGGTGCAGGATGTTAATAATGGGGAAGGTTATGGAAGTGTGAAAGCACGAGTATATAGGAACTCTCTGCATAGTTGTGTACCTAAAACTGCTTAAAAAATAAGGCCTGTGTTTAAAAATTAATGTAAAAAGCAAAACAAAAATTTTATTAAAGTGCAAGATAATTAGAGAGATAAAGTTTTCCATTTTAAAAACTGAGAATATTTGGAAATTTCATATGAATTTAATATATAAGGTTATTCTTGACTTTTATGTTTTACTTTTCTTATTAGGGCCATGTAGATGTGATCAAAATATGTAAAGAACTCTTTTGTGAATGTCTTTATAAGATGTGATCAAAAGTATGGTGAGTGCCCCTGCTAAGTGCCATCCAACAGAAGCTCAGGCTCAAAAGCTACAACAGTGTGTACTCATCTCCGTTATCCGCCGGAGCTGGCACCAAGCAGCTGCTGGTCTTTCTCCAGGTCAGAAATGATGATGAGTGGGAAATGTTTTGAATCAATTCAGGACATGGAGGCAGCCACAAGAATGCAATTAAAGACACCCATGAAAGAGGACTGCCGGAACTGCTTCAGAAAGAGGCAAGAGGCCTAAGTGTGTTCAGAGCAAGGAAAGGTATTCTGAGGGTGATTACTGGTAATGTTTTATTGTAGTAATTTTATAAAGCATGTAAAGCATGCACTGTCTATCATGTCACGTGTGTTATTTTGAATATAATGATTTGCTTTATCAAGTCTGAAATAACGGCTCCCAAGTACCTGACATAGATATATCATTAATCATTGCCTGTACCCAGGTGTAAAATTGAACTGTTGCAGAATTAACAGTAACACACCACATACAGTAACATGCTTATTCATTAATATAGAATTATCTGATTTTATTTTTAGGCAAAGCAAATGTGTCTCAGATAAAAATACATGGAGGTAGCCAGGCAAGAGCGCATTTTTTATTTTTGAGACAGTGTCTCACTATACAGTTCAGGTTGGTTTTGAACTCAGTGTATACCCCAGGCTGGGCTTGAACTCATGGCAATTCTCCTGCCTTGGCCTCCCAAGTTCTGGGATTACTGGCATGCCCACCACGGTTGGCAACTACAAAGAATTTTGTAGTCTATTTATATGCACTTAAAACGACACCTGTGACATTGTCCTGGCTTTAGTAGACAGTTTGCCGCTTGGTTTTTGGTTTTTGTGTGTGTCAGTATTTACATGGAGATTATTCTATTTAACTATGCTCTTATAATTTTTTTTAGTGGGTTTGCTTTAACTTCCTAATTGGTTATCAAAATTTTCAATGGCTGCCCTGATAGTGAAACTAGCACTTGTGATCTGTAGCTGCCCAGTATTCTTCATTGTTAGATTAAGCTGAGTTTCCTGTGGAAGCACTGTTTCTAGTAGCTGCTCTGAGCCTGGCTGCTTAGAGATGTAGAAGGACAGGGTTGCTCCTGAATCTTGCCTAGAATGTGCTATCATTTCCATCAATGGCTTGGTGATTGCTATGGACACTGTGGTCTGCTCCACAGCCTGAAAGAGATACGAGCATGGTTAGCTTTTATTAAATTGACAGGTGAAATACCTGTTCAGGCCTAGTAGGGATGAAACAGGAGAGAGAACTTTAGCTCAAAATGTGCACAGAGACATCAGAGTAAGGACTCATCATTCCTAGAGAAAATAAGAGCAATTTCCACACTAGAAAGGTCAAGCATGGAATGGAGATCAGAAAGTAGAGCAGAAATGGGGCTGAGGGACAGAAAGCCTCTCTATGGAGCTCAGTGCTTCTGGTTCCCTTCTTTATCCCACTGTGCACCAGCAGGCTCAGTGTTTTCTCTCCTATAAACGGGTCATCTTTGGAATACAGAAGGTCAGGCAAACTGCATGTATAGGTGAATTCCCTGTCTATAAACGCAGTTTGGTTTTAAAATTTACAGCAAAATTCATGAACCCATGTGAGACCGTCATCTAACAATGAAAAACTTATAATGAATAAAAGAAAAGGCATTTATGGTTTTGTTCTTTGCCTAAGAAATGCATATGAAGAGCCTCCACGGTGTTCAGGAACTGCCTCTTCTTTTACAGGTTGAAATGATACAAATCTTCCTTACCCTATGGCCCCATAAGATGACTTATTCATTGCTAATTACCCCATTACTTGTGACCTTGATCATCCACCATGCTGCCCACTACTGAAACCCTGCTGAGTGGATCAGTCTAAGCCAGCAGTATGGCACACGGATACAAAAGAAGACCAAGACCAAGTTCTGCAGTGGAGGAGCTCTGGGATGACTCAATATTTTCTGTGAAAGGAAAGCTTTGTCTCTAAAAGCTCACGGCTTTTATTGGTGCCAATCAGGGAAGTAGGCAGGAGACCTGGCAGATTGCACAAGAAAGATGAAGTTTGTAGCCATACTAGGCCTAGAAACCTCCAATTAGCAAAGCACAGATAGTTTTGATGCATGCAAGATTCGCACCTTTACTGCCAAGAGCATTTATTTCAATATAGCCAGCTGTACACATCTCAGTAAACAGGGTGAAGTACTGATCAGGGACAAGTTGTGGCAAGGGATTTGTTTTCCAGGAGCCCTCTGGAGTATGGCAGTCTCCCACAGTCCATGGACACCAGCTTCCAATGACTCTGACAGGTCGATCCTGTGCAGCACAGATGACAACCACAAATGCACATTTAATTCAGGAAGGAAAAAAGACAAGCACTCTTTCATTCTCCAGTTGTGTTAAATTTACCTTTTGGAACATACCCTATGCCTTGACTCTGAACTCTTGGCCATAACCACTGCATTTCTAGGGTGAGATTCCTGTCGATGAGAGTGAATTCAAACCTTTCATACATTGTCACCAGGCGGAGGACAGACCTCAGGAGGAGGGACAGAGGAGTCCCTTTCCGTAAAGAATGTCCATCCTTGCTGGACCCCACCAGCATCTCTTCTCTAAATGGGTGTGAGGCAAGCTAGGGCTCTGAGACACCAGAGAGCATGTTTTCTCTCTCCTCCCACAGAGAGCACAATGACAGCCGTTTGTAAGAAAAGGTCGCCTAACAGAATCCAGCCACACTGGCACCCTGATCCTGGGTGCTCAGCTTTCAAATCAGTGAAAAAATAAATTCCTGTTGTGTAAGGCATCCCTCTACAGTACTTTCCTGTGGCTGCTTGAGCTAAAAGTTTCATATATATGCAAATCTTGGTCCTCAGGGTAGCACTACTGAAAGATGGGAGAACTACTGAGAGACGAGAACTCACAAAAAGACATTCATAAACTAAAAAGAAGGAAAATAGTATTTCATGTATCAGGATCCCAAGAGTAAGCAGGAGTAGCAATTTTACTCTTAGACAAAGAAAACTTCAAGTTAGCAAAGAAAATCACCTTATACTATTAGAGGGCATAATCTAGTAAAAGAAGGTAACACTTGTAAATACATATGTACTAAACACTGGAGCACTTGTCTTGATAAAACAAAAACTACTGGACATAAATTACCACATTAACACCAGCACAATTGTAGTGGGTGAATTCACCTTCACACAGAGACAGATCAATTAAAGAAAAAAATTAACAAAGAAATATTGGAACTGATATTTCTTTAACACAAGTGGACTTAATAGATATCTACAGAGTGCTCTATCTTACAAAAACAAAATACACATTTTGCTCAGCAGCACACAGAGCTTTATCCAAACCAGATCATACGGTAGTCCACAAAGCCTGCTTAAATAAATATAAAAGACTCAAAATAGCCTTGTATCTACCACCAGATCATTGTACATTGAAATTAGTAATCAATCACAGAACAAACACCAGGAACCTTAATATGTGTTCAGAATATACTAGGATTTCTTCACTGTACCTATTTCACTTTTCAGGAAACAGGCGGCTTAAACATCTGGATTTCTCTTGGGCTCCCTAGTCTCCATCTTTTGAAAGGAAAAACTGGTGGCCTGCAGCCAGAGAATGTCCTCAAATACCTGGCAAAGCGGAGGCCAAGGCCATCCTTTATGGCTGGGCTGCAGGCTCTGGCTTCCACCCTATTTCCCAGGCTGCCCTGGGAGCTTTCTAGAACTTGAACTGCGCCCTGAGTGTCCACCAGGGGGTGGCAGTGCCCTGTCACTGAGGAAGAGTCTGCCAGGGCAGGGTTGGCCTAGAGCTAAGGGCTCTACTGAGAGTCCCTCAGGCTGCAAACCCAAACCCTCCTGTTTCTCTGGTGTGAGAAACTAAAGAGTAAATAAGGACCAAAATGTATAAAAGATATTGTGAAACAGGAAAAAATTCTTCAAAAGAAAAAAGAACTAGGATGCGGAAAGAGGAAAGGAAGGACCCGGACCCAAAAGAAAAGAAAAAAGACAACATAATTATACTACGGAGTTTCCCTTAGTTCATTGAAAAGAAAGGTCAGTGCTGATATCATTTGAAGAATTTTTTATGGCTACATCTTGTACTCTGAGTAACTACTTTGAAGATAACAATATGCAATGTATTTAGTATTGTTTTTCTCCTATTTTTTATGAAATTTTTTCCATAAAAACAAACAATAACCCGCCCCCCCCCCCAAACTCCCTCCTTCTGCTGAGCCCTCAGCTTCCACAAAAGAGCCTCTGCCCACTTTATTGAGATTCAGATTCCAACCAGGTTTCCAAATGCTAAGATTTTAGGAATTCAATTGTCTTCTTCCTTAAATTCAAATATTTACAGATTTCCTCTTATTAAATAAGTTCTGTATCTTAGGAATCCAACCCCATGACAACTTGTAATAGTCACAGAAAGTTCTCTTTCTTCAAGGTCTTTGTGGATTCTCTCAAACATAGGATTCGTGTCACTGTTGCCCTGAGCAATCAGGGACAGATAGCAGCAGGAATCTTGTCTCTTACCTCAGATGGAGGTCAAACCTTTGGTCACCCTCCCTGTATCCATCCGGTCCCCAAGCAATTATTCACTGGAAACAAAAATTTTAATTTTCTGTTTGAGCAAGGAATCGAGAAGAACTATGAATTTTATCCTTTAAATAATGAGAAAGGAAAAATTCAGAACTTTCTTTGAAAATAAGCTTTACATAATGGATGTAGGAGTTTAAATACCATGTCTGGGCCTGAAATCATTAGACTGGTTGAAGCGCACACTTTCAGGAGATCCCTTAGGAACCACAGCTGCCTTCAGACCACAGTGGTCCAGAGGATTGCTGTGGGGGCGCTGGGGGAAACACACTCAGCCGGCCAAGCATGCAGCCCTGGGGACTCCCCTACTGAAAGTCCCACTCTGAGAAAAGGCCTTTCTGCCAGTTTTAAGTTGCTGCAGTGAGGCAATATGCCACCCTGCTTCCAGAAAACACCACTGTTCAATGTGGAAAAAAATCAAATCAAGACAATGAAACTACTTATTATGGAAAAATTGGTCAAACAAAGGACACTATGTGGTATTTAAATTTCAGGAAAATAGCAATCATCTTGATCAAAACCTTCTGATATCTCAGAAAGAGGAACCAGTGAAGTCACTCATCCGCACCATCCGAAGTGCCAGACATAACAGGGCACTGGAGAGCTGTTGTTCATTCCCTCACGAGCTACTGTCTTAATCTTTACAAGTATTTTTTAAAACACGATTTGTCTGGCATATAAATATGTGAAAAAAATGTGCAGTGTCATCGGTCATTCAAGAGATGCAAATTAATACAACCCTGAGATTCCATCTCACTTCAGAAAGAATACTGTTATAAAGAAATTAACCATTAGCAAATGCTGGAAGGGTGGTAGAGGAAAAGGAACCCATCTCCACTGTTGGTGGGATTGTAGCCACTGTGCTAATCAGTGTGGAGAGTCCTCAAAAAACTAGGACCAGAGGTTCTATCTGATCCAGCTATTCCCCTTCTTGGTATCATCCCAGAAGAATTAAACTCATCATACCACAGCAATATATGCACATCCAATAGCTGCACAGTTTATAACTGGTAAATCTTGGAAACAGCCCAAATGCTCATTTATGAATGAATGAATAAATATGTGGGGTTTTTATACAGTGGAGTATTGCTTTGTGATAAAGAAGGGTACCCTTGAGTCATTTCTATGCAAATAGATGCACCTTGAGACCATACTCTCAAGTAAAATAAATTGGACACACATGTTTAAATATCACTTTGTTTCTCTCACAAACTGAAAGGGTAAATAAGGTCTAAGAGGTTTAATAGATACTTAGAAATAGGGAAAAAGTGTCCAAATGGGAAAGAGAACAAGGAAGAGTGTAATGGGATAGGAAGGAAGGAACAACAAAAAAAGAGAATAGAAGGAAAATGGAAATAAAACTTATAAATAAGGAGGGGAAGAGAAGTTGAAGGGAGGGAAAGGGATTAGGGTAATAACAATCCAGATATACTATGCACAGGTACAAATTCCCTATGATGGATGTGATCATTAGGTATATCTAAAATGTACCAATAAAATTAATTTTAAAAAACATTTGTCAAACCATACAATTAAATTAATCATAAGGGGTACATACAATGTGTGTAAGGGAGGTCCAGGGGATTACACATCTAAAACTTAGTACACATACGTTTCTTCTCTGTTGTTGTGTGTGTGAATGATAAGGCTGAAAGTGACAACTGGATAAACTTGAATAGTAACAGAAACCCAAGAAATAGCAGAGAAAAGATTTTACCATATTAAAAAGTACATGGCAAAGATCACTGTATAACTAAACCAGTATGCAGTGAATATAATTGTTCTAACACCACCTAACCTAAAATTAAATCTATGGATTGAGAAAACTGACAACCTAATGTTGAAAACTGGGTTAACCACCAGACAGATTATTATAGAAGGGAAACTGCATATAGTTTATAAACTTAGGGGAATAATCTCAACTTTATGGGTAAATGGGTTGAAAATTATAAATTTTCATTAATCGTGTTGTCAATTTTAAGCATTTAAGGTTGAAAAGATTTTGGTAAAACAAACAAACATCAGTGACAGAAGTGTGAATTCTAAGAGCACAAAAGTATTTGGAAAGTATTTTGGTCATTATTTGGTAATATTTACAAAATGTTTAACCTAGAAATGTCACTAAGTGTCATTTTAGTGATCTTTATCCGTGAATATATGTATATACATGTAAGTTTACATAGACATGTACATATTAAGCATATAGTAATAAACATTAATTCTTACTTCAGACATAAATATAGAAATAAGAAAAGAAATTATCCCTAGTTTGGCAAATAGCCTTGATTCTACTGAGTGAATAGGGACCCAGAATTTCCGGTATAATAATAAAACAAATTTTAAGATAGACCTCTCCCAACTTTTTATTTTTGTAGTTTTTGCTGTCTTCCTCTGTCATGAACAGCTGCTCCTCTGCCACACCATCCTGCTTTGGAGCCAGCTGAGTATGGAATGAAACTTCTACAAACTGTGAGCTCAATAAACCTTTCCTCCTTTAACTTTGGGTGTCAAGTATTTTGTCTCAGCAATGAGAAGAGTAGGTGAGACAGTGACCTCTCAGTCTCCTTCTTTACCTGTCTAGACTCTTAAGGTCCCAGTGAGTCCTGCTACCAAGTTGGTGCACCCCTCCCCAGCGACTAAAGCTCACACCTGCAGCTCAGTGGAGAGAGTTCCTCTGGCTGTCTGCCCCTACACAGAGGTAGAGTACAAAAGACTGGTCCTCTTGCTGAGCTCAAGGTAGGGTAGATGCAAGCTCCAGCACTCGCTGGGGCTTCAGCTGGGACCACGTCACTTTTTAGTTCCACACCTGGCTTCCTTCACTGACTCTCTGAAAAAATTACCTATACAAGAATTCTTCCTCAGGTGCTCTCTTTGAAAGCAATCTGACCCAAGAGAGTCCCTCAAGTGAGATGCATTCTCCCTAGCTTCCTGGAACAGCAGCCTTAACCTAAGGGAAACCAGATGGTTTCTAAGTCAGCCTTCTCCAGACTTCTGTTGAGCAGTGAACACTTGGCAATCGGCTTCCCAAAGCTCTTGTCTCTCACAAACTTCTTGCTCCTTCCAGAGCCCCTCGACGGCCTCTTGGAACGTGCTCTCCTTTGCTTCAATTTCAGCGATGGTTGCCTGGTTCTACTCCTTGTAGGCCATGGTGACCACAGCCAGGATCAAGTTGACCAGGTAGAAAGATCCCAGGAAGATGACAATCACGAATATACATTTTCCCAGAAGCCCTGAGGGTTTGCAAGAAAAAAAAGAATCCTAAGATAGAAAATAGTGCTATTTTAAAGCTTTCCGTATTGTGTTTGTTAGTTATTTAATTGTGTTTATATTTCTTAATAGAGAGGACACTACATTCTGGACATGATTTTTAAATTTTTTAAAAATTTTATTTAAAGAAAAAAAACCAGAACAGTAAAAGGGTACAAGTAATATAGAATTTCAAAAAAAAAGTAAGAAATCACTAGTTAATAGTATTGTCATCAGAAATAGTTGTTCAAGTTACAAAATTAAAGCATACAAAGTGGACATTCAAACAGTGAGACTGCAAACAGCTGTGTTCAATGATTTAACAAAACCTTATTAATATGGTCATTTATCTTACACACCTAAACACACTTGCAGTTGTATTCTTTAGAGCACTTTCTTTTCTTTTCCTCTCTTTTTTACAATAACATTTACACATTTTGGGTTTTATTACTCCCATAGTTCTTATTACTTTTCCTTTTTTTTTTTTTTTTTGGAAGAGAATAAAACCAAATGTGACAAAACAAAGCAGTCAGTCAAAACAAAGGATGGACATAGTACATGTTGTAAAAACAGAATACAAGGTAATCAACTATGGTTACCATAATGCCTCTTGCTACCTTAAAAAGAATTGCCTATATCATCAGGTATAATAAAGTTAAACAAAACAGTACAGAACAAAAACAATAAAACCTAAACATTGGAGACATTACAGGATTCAAAAGAAGATAATAGTCAAACCAGAATGGGCATCATAGTGAATCTCATTGCCTGCAAAGTAGTTGCCTATACCCTCAAACTTGATCCTATCAAACAGAACAGAATAGAGTAAAATCAGTCAATACAAGATGGTCAGAGCAATACAGGCCTTCAAATCAAGTTAATAGGAAATCAAAAAAGTTACTATAATATATCCTACTAATTTTTAAAAATTTTTCCCTTAATTAAAAAAATTTTAAAAATAAATTTAAAAAAAAGGGGGAGACTGAGATAAAAGAGGATATAACAACATAACAATACAGGTCAGAACAGAACTATTTAAGCATCATATTGTTTCACCACAGATAACCTGACATAATAGTAGTTACCATAGTGTCTCTTTCCTTGAAATATTTGAGTATAACTTCGTATACTATAGCATCAAACATATCACAACAGTGTGAAACCATTCAAGAGGATGAAAATATTACGGGGTATTTAGAACCAGCTAACAGAAAACGAACAATGGTTTCTATATTATTTCTTTGCCTATAAAAAATTTTGTTTATACTATCACATATGATAGATCCAGTAAGATACAACATGATAAAACCAATGGAGACAGAAGAACAACAGTTTGATCGGACTTCAAAACAAGATGATATTAAATCAGCACTAGCTATTATGATGTCTTGTTTTCTTCAAAATAGCTGTTCATATCATCACAGACAATAATATCAAACAGCCCAGAATAAAACCATTCCAATGAATTGAGTGAAAAGGCTTCAAAGCCATATAAATGAGGAATCATGATTACCACATACTTTTATGTATTTTTATCATTTCTTACACTAGGGAAACTATTCGGTATTCATACATGTGATTTTGAAATTTTTGAATCACCTGTGTTTCTTTCTTTTTATAACTGAATGTCTTCTGCTATGTAATTCCAGAGATCTGAAATATATGGAGGGCAGCAAAAATGTTCATACACAAGAATATTTCATCTTTGTAAAATAGTAAAATTTTAAACAAGTACATTATTAAAATATCAAATAAAGCTATATTGTATTGCTAGTAAATATATTTCCATATATGAATATTAGGCCCCAGGGAGTTTATTTGGTTGGTTTTGTTTCTCTGAGGTTTTTTTTTTTTTTTTTTTTTTTTCGTGTTTTTCTTCGGAAAACAAAGTAGATTTTGATCATTTATAGTTATGTCTCCATCTAGTGGTAGAAATGTATTCTAAATATTTGTGCAATAAGAAAGGCCATGATCACATTTTGTTAAAGTTAAGTGCTGATGATGCTGGATAAGAATTATTGTGGTACGTGCCGTGTTGTACCATCATTAGGGTCACCACGATTAATTATGCTGTTATACAGGGAGAAATGATATTTTCTACTAATAGCTTCCTTTTAAATGTTATGTTCTTGCGCAAATTAGTAGCATCCTGTTTGTGAAGTCTTTACGAGCTCTTTTCTTAGAAACTAAAATTGCCATTGTAAATATGAGATAAGACCCTGGAGGACCCTATTTTGGGGTTCAGGCGTCCTATAGGTCTCTTTTCAGTTTGGTCTATATTGTAGGTTGAAGTTCTTTACTCTCTCTTTATTTATAGCCTTCCAATCTTATTGAATATTTTTAAAGCCCCAGCTATAAAATGTGTACACTTTCTTGATGACTCTGTTTTATTTGCTCACTGAGTCTTTCTGAAGTTTCATTACTTTATCTATGACACACCAAGGAACACTTTATAAACCTGTAACACTTTCCTCATTTATACTTACTGGCTCTTTTCACACTTCCTACAACCTCAAAGGGCAGGTACAGACGATATTTGCTGTGTTTATTTAATGGTGAGGAGAATAGGCTCAAATAGGCCTTATAACTTGTCCACACTCAAAAAATAAATGGAAGAGCGGGAAATTTATCCTACAATTTCTTTATTTTTTTATTGGGACTTGTTTGCAGTCCATAGTGATTAAATTCCTCATGAGGAACGGTACATTGTAAGATTTCTTGCTTCCAAGATCAGTGCTCTTTGTAAGACTTACTCCAATCATTATGATTAAGAAAGCTAATATTTGTACAAATGCCTAAGACAAACAGGTGAGTCACCAACCTCTTAGAACCTTAGCCTCCTCACTTTCAAATCAAGTGTTAAATTTTAACCACTAGAGTATGAACTCTCAAAGCTTTCTCCTAGTATTAGCAACCTGGTTCTATGATTTAATCTAGAGCTGGAAATGAATCACCGACTCTTGCTTTACAGGACATGGTACTGAAATCGATCAGTTCTAGAGGCAAGAGTCACGTGTAAAGGCCACAGCACCAAGGGTGGTGCGTACTCTTCCAAGAAGGCGCTCCCTCCCCCACTTCCCCTTAAGTTAAACGTGTTTGTCAGTGTAATCTTTAGTTATGTAATTACCAGAAGTTTCGATACCTGTCTTGAGGATGTCTTGTCTGCCTCTGAAGGAATACCACTGTCATTGCTGGTCTTTTTCTTTACCTTAATAAACTCTCTTCTAAATTTTAAAATCATGGAAATTCTAAATCTTCTGGAATTTTAACCTCTCTTCAGCCTGTATTGGGAGGCTTTTCTAAATGTAAGATGCCCTTCTGGACTTCCTCTCTGAAGGAGAATGGGATGGAACTTTGCCTCCTGCCCTCAGTCAGGTAATAAAGCTGCAAAGGCTGCCCGCTCAGCACTCAGGGACTTGGCTCCTGAAATCTGTACTCACTCCTTATGACTTTCTGCTCAGAAATCCTGGGTCCTTCTACCTTGGCTTTCCCAAAAACCTGATTGAGAAATCATCACTCCAATCAGTGATTTCCCTGCAGAGGTCCTCAAGTTCTCAAAATGATTGTCATGTTTCCCCTTTCCCTTTACCCCTAGTCTTCTTTTAGCATCTTCCCTCTTGCAAAAATTTTCTGAAGTTTTTCCAGACTCCTAAATTTTCCCAATAATTCATTATTTTTGCAGAAGGCCAAAAGAAGCCCTGTTTTTTTTTCAGGGAATTTTGGGGCAATCCAATGGCATAAATTTCCAGCTAGTAGTCTAGGGATTTTCTTAAAGTGAGGAAGTATGGAGCACTTCCAACCTCTCCTGAAATCTCCAGTTAAGAAGCCAACCAGAGACCCTTTCAGTCTGTGTCACACATTCCCCGCAGGGACATTCACTCTTGGAGGTACAAGCATGGACAGGCCTGCTCATCCCAGAAGGGTCCCCATTTCCCAGTATCCCATTCTGCAGGGGCTCTTGATCCCAAGTTGTCTTTGGTCATCAGGTCACAGCCTTCAGAGAGCATCGCCTCTCATGCCTTCATGACCCTAAGTCCCAGTTGTAAGATTTGGTCCTACACTAGTTACTAAACGCTTCTTCTCACACTCTCTATACATCTTGACCTATCTGATTTGCTCAGTTATAATAAGTAATATGGAAAAGGATGGAACCTATTTGATCACTTTCTACTCTTGCTTTGAGGAGGTGTTAATTCTTCTGAAATTCTTTTGAACAGCCTGTGGATATAGCTCAGAGGCA